ATCCATGATTAGTTGTAACATTAGACTTTATTTTATCAGGCTGAGTCATTTTTGTGTTCCCCTCTCTGTCATGTGGATGGAGGACCTCAGTGACGAGAGGAATATGTAGCGCTGAGCTGGGGCTAATGTTAAAGCTAACAGGCTAATGCTAAAGCTAACAGGCTAAGCTGAGGTTCTTCTTCCATGAAGCAGCTCTGTTGTCCTCCATCCATATGTTATTTACTTCCAAAGACTCTGATGGCCTCACAACACCCTACATATTAGATTTTCCTCTAACCTCCCCATGTATAAAGCTGAAATTAAGACTTTTTGACAAGATTTTCAGTTAGAGGCTGAGTCATTTCTACCTTCTCCTCTCTGTCAACGCTCTCTGGTTTCATTTAAAAGAGTCCCCCCCCCCGGTTTCCCTTCTTCTCTCCTACTCAGAGGTCCAGCTTCATCTTCAAACTGCTAAATTAAAAATTAATAAATAAAAGGCTGCACACATTTCCATCCTGATTAACAGTACCAGCAAAACACTCACATTTTAAGTGGAAAGAGGAGCCATTTAAACGACACGTTAACCAATGCTTTGAACACTTTTTTTATCTCTGCGCCTCTGCTCAGATAAACTCCTGTTTTTAACTGTGGCTTCATTAGACAGAAATCACATGTGCTGGGCTTTAGGCCAAATTTACACTGAAAATAATTACTCAGAGAAAGTACAGGTGTCAACAATATTTTTTTATTATTTTTTTTTAACGATATACGCAGCTGTGCTGCAAATAAAAACTTCAAAGACATTGGTCGGTCCTTTTCTATTGAAGATGCTGAAGGGGGTCTGAAAACTCGCTAAATCTAAGACAGTTTTGCGCGAACCTTAAATTAACCATGCCTGAAAATGGAAATGCTCAGCTTGTGGGGTGAATGCTTGTTTTTTCATCATGTGCTCTCTAGTATATAAGAGCACCACATGGACATGTTATTATAAGTAACTTCATGAATAAGATAATAATGTCATGAAGACTGGCTTTAMTTTATGTCAGTCTTTTTCATACGATACACTGAAAGTATTTAATAACAAAACGCCTGAATTCAATATTGACAGCCTGCATCATTGACTGTGTTCTCTGTGGACTGAAAAAGGCTGAGGAAAAAAAGCCACTTCTAAAGGTCATCTGTGAATACTGTTAAGTGAAAGCCGAAACAAAGTGAATTCCACACAGAGCAAGAAATCGAATTAAGGGCAATTTTGTTTTTGTTCCATGGTGTTCTGGAAAAGCACAAACAGGTTAGAAATTTGAGATTAAACGCTCTCTTTGTCTGTCTTCCTTTGTGCTCGTCTCTCAGAAAGCAGATCTGGCTGTGGCTCCCCTCACCATCACTCTTGTTCGCGAAGAAGTGATCGACTTCTCTAAGCCTTTCATGTCTTTGGGTATTTCCATCATGATCAAGAAGCCCACCAAATCCAAACCGGGCGTGTTTTCCTTCCTGGACCCGCTGGCTTATGAGATTTGGATGTGCATCGTGTTCGCCTACATCGGCGTCAGCGTCGTCCTCTTCCTCGTCAGCCGCTTCAGCCCGTACGAGTGGCACGCCGAGGACTGCGACGAGGCATGCGAGCCACAGACGCCCACGCAGGCAGCGGCCTCCAACGGGGTGCAGCCGAGCCAGACGCCAACGCAGCAGAACACCAACCAGCAGAGTCTGGAACAGACCAACGAGTTTGGCATCTTTAATTCTCTTTGGTTTTCTCTGGGCGCCTTCATGCAGCAGGGCTGCGATATCTCACCACGGTAAGGACTCAAGTGTTAAAGCTTTGCATCTGTAGTCCTCTGAGTCTTCCCCTTTGATTGACGGTACACAGTAACTCTCACTGCTACATGAGTTTACCATTTCTCAGTTGGAAGTTTTTTAATGAGACATTCTTTTTTTTTCTTTTTGCTCAGTCACCTCTAAGATGATTAAATCTACTCTGTGGTAGCAATTTCTGTTCAAAACAATAGAAAAAAATCTTAAAGGGATCCCCGATTAGTTGCAACATTAGACTTTATATGATAAACATATACTTTAACTGTAAAATAAAGACAGTAAAAATAC